GAGTTAAGTTACATTCCTACATAATCATATTAAAACAGCTATCATGTTAATTAGTACTAAATTTACAATTTAATTAAATCACTCAGAAATTCATCGCACAGAAATTTGAGACTTCGCTGGAGATACATTTAATTTTACAACGAATAAATCTCTTTAGAACTGTGACGAAAACAAAATTCTCTCGGGATCTTTATTTGGCTTCCACAAAAGATTTCATACAATTCATTTCGGTCTCATAAAAAAAGTTATCACGAATTCACAGAAATCGAGTCGAGCTATTTTTCTGCGGGCGGTTGTTCTCCCCGTGGGAAAGCCATTTTAAAGTCAAATGGATGCCTACAACCATAACGTTTTGGATGTACGCGTCGCGTCGCTACGTTATCGGTGTAATAAACGATCGTCTATAAACCGTATTTTTACACGAAGCGTTGTGTTATATTTTCAATATATTAACATGATAGTATAATTAATTTATCGGCAAAAATACTCGTGCAAACATTTCCGTTTAATGTTTGCAGTATAAAACGTAAATTTTGCATTTTATTACAACTACATAAAATAAGTAATATATCTTTTTAATTTTTTACAGACGTTATTAAAATTAGTTACAAACTAGATTTTTGAACAAATTTAATAACATGGCTATAAATAAATAGGTAATCAATATCTAAGGTCATGTCATACAATATATAAGTATCTCTATTGTGTATTTTTTATGCAATGTTTTTTTAAATAAAAAATATTAAATAAAATTCAAGGTTTGCTTACACATAAAACATATAAAACAACTATATGCGCTATTAGAGGCTAGCATAAATCCGCTTTTAGATATACATATTATGCCGTCTTGTTCTAAAGCCGATTGTCATACAACAAGGTCCTGGGCCACCTGTTCGCAGAAATTTTTAAAAATCAATGATAGTAAATAAAAAAGTTTATAATTATTACCGTGTCAGGTATTGTGCGACCGCTTTTTAATTTCCTTTTAAGTTAAGTGGTATCCGAAATGTTTAATATGTTAAAATGTTATAACATTTTATACTGTTTATAATTTTTCTTGTTTTTCTTACAAAAAAAACATCTTTTATCACTTGTTGTGAAATACCGTTTAAAATAGGCATAATATAATCTGTGATGTTATTTTTAACTTGTACTTATTAATAATAAAAAATAATGTTTTATTTAATATTATATACGTATATGTATATAATGGATATAACCGTCAGCTACTTTACGCGAACTTTAAAAAAATTAAAACTATTTTTTAATGTTACAATATAAGTATTAAGTTATTTGCTATCTGTTGTACCAGACCTCGTAACAAAACATAACATTCAATAAATCCTACATCAAATCTATTAGTTTTTACAAGTTTACGAAACGGCTGTCGCGCGAGGAATGCGAAATATATAATCTCACACGTCAATTTAGACCTTGTGAATAATTTAGAGTCGTGATTTGCTTACTAGTTTGTCTGATATATCACGAGAAATTTTCTAACAAATCAATCTTGTATTTCATCTAGCGGCCAGTTTTTATGTAATAACCATACGAGTAATTATTAATTATTTTATTTGATTAAAACTACTTTTACGGATTTTATCGCGTTTTTTTTTTTTTTTTTTACTTTTTATTTTTAATTCCCGACGTTTCGGGCGCTTTCCAGCACCCATGGTCACGGGGGACTGAGATGACTGACGTCCCGATGTCATTGTTAAACCCGGAGTACCTTCAGCTTTTTTAATTATTGTTTATGGTCCGATCTATGCAAAATGAACTGACTATGTCCTGAGGTCTTGCAGTGGTATGCTTGGGTTTAGTTTTAATTTTATTGATTATAGGATCCCAAGCAGGTGGTAGTACCCAGCCTCCTTCTCTATTGAAATTAGGATGTTTTTTAATTTCAATAGCCTCACGTATCATCCTTGGTAGGAATCGGTGTTCTTTCGCGAGGATTTGTGGTCTATCAAATCTGATGTAATGGTTGGGGCCGTCTAGGATATGATCACAAACTGCAGACTTCCCGGAACGTTGATGCTTCACATCAGCTATATATTCTTTTACGCGGGTCCTAATTGATCTTTTGGTTTGTCCTATATAAGAGAGACCACATTCACAATCAAGCTTGTACACTCCTGCATCTTGTAGAGGAATATGACACTTGACGGATGGTAGGTACTGACTAATCTTCTTCGGCGGCTTGTAGAATGTTCTAATAGAAGCTCGCTTCAAGATATAGCCAATCTTGTCTGTGACACCTCTGACATATGGTAGTACAGCTGGAACACGCTCGACTGTGGCCGGCTCACTCGGTCACTGTGACGGAGGCGCGGGACCCGAAGCTTGTTGTCGTGCAGAACTTGCTTGACGTGCTGAAGCTCGGCGGCCAGGTGTTTGCTGTCACAGATCCCTCGTGCTCTCTGTAACAAAGATTTGCCCACGGTAGCTAACTGTGAAGGATGGTGGTGAGATTCACCGTTTAAATATCGGTTTGTATGGGTCTTTTTCCTATACACAGTGTGACCAATGGTGTTATTACGATTTCGGATGACTAACACATCTAGGAAAGGTAAGGAATTATTTGCCTCTAACTCCATAGTAAATTGTATTTTAGCGTTTATGGAATTAAGATGTTCTAAAAATGCAGTTACTTTGTCTGATGGTAAAATTGTGAAAGTATCGTCTACGTACCGCTTGTAGATCCTTGGTGTAACAGGTGCAGTAAGGAGGGCTTTCTCTTCAAAGTCTTCCATGAATATATCGGCGACAATGGGAGATACAGGTGAGCCCATCGCCACACCATCTACTTGCTTGTAAAACTCTTCCTTCCACAATAATGAATTCATTATGAATGAATAAATTCCACAATAAAAAATGAGGCTATTGAAATTAAAAAAACATCCTAATTTCAATAGAGAAGGAGGCTGGGTACTACCACCTGCTTGGGATCCTATAATCAATAAAATTAAAACTAAACCCAAGCATACCACTGCAAGACCTCAGGACATAGTCAGTTCATTTTGCATAGATCGGACCATAAACAATAATTAAAAAAGCTGAAGGTACTCCGGGTTTAACAATGACATCGGGACGTCAGTCATCTCAGTCCCCCGTGACCATGGGTGCTGGAAAGCGCCCGAAACGTCGGGAATTAAAAATAAAAAGTAAAAAATAAACGCGATAAAATCCGTAAAAGTAGTTTTAATCATGTGCAATGTTCGCGTAAATATAAGAAATCATAATGATTTTATGAATAATACGCATATTATTAAGACAAGTATTTAAACGAGTGATTTTAAATTTAAAGTCAAGATTTCAAAAATAATGAGTACTGGTTGTTAAAATACAAAGTGAGCGTGTAGTCGCTCCGGCCGAAAACAGTGACTGATAAAAACTTTATTTTATTTACCATTTATTTAAAGCGAACAGCATGATAGTTGTTGAGCAACCTAATTACCTAATAAAATTCACTACGAAATTACTTGCTGAGCTGCGTAATATTACTCGTATGTAGTGATAACGTTAGCCTTTGTTCAAAGCTAAACTTAGAGTTAGTTATCTTATTGTATATTATATAAATGTTCTCTTTGGGCACGCACCTTAACCTACAAGTTGCTTATATAGTATTTTAATGCCTTTTTTGATATTCATATCGCTCTCCTAAAATGTTAATATGCATTACGGATATAATATGTGGCGCACTACTTTTTGTAGCTCAATAAGATTCTGCTTGTGGTAGTTTGCTCCTTAAGTTATTATAAAGTCGGCAACACATTTTTTATTCGCTCTTCTAGTAAGTAATTTAATTTTTTTTTAATTTAATTAAATATATTTTTGATCCAAACTAAAGATAATTAGGTCTGCCGCTTTGAACAGATGATATGTAATTCTTATAATATATATGAATACCTATATAATACACAAACATTTTACATTTATTAAAAAGTAAAACCAGAGTTGAAAGTATTAAAATGAGTGGCTAAGTAAGACATAGCAGAAGAATTGAAGCCCCGACTTCTGAATGTAACTTGTTTTATTATTTTTTAGTTAGTTTCTACTTTTATTAAAAGTTAGTTTTTACTCTTTGGAATGGACTGTCAGATATCACAACACACTCCATCTCCATTTTTCCCACCATTAGGAGTGGAATTTTTTTCCAAATTTATATAGAACAGCCTTGGAAGTATGGCTTATTTAAATGGAAAAAGAATTATCGAAATCGATTTACAATAATTGTAGAAGATATCGCGTAAAATACATACAAAAATATACAATTTAACTTTATACCGTCACCAATCATCAATGAGGTTTATTTCATATTATAGATAATTCATATATTTTAGTGCTTGACGTTTGGTTAACAGTGGTATTCACCTTTAACTTTAAGGGAAACACATTTTTTCCCCATGTATGTTTGCATGTCAATTATTTTTATTACAATCATCATTATTCAAAAGTCCAATGCTGAAAATAGGGCTTCACAAATATTGTCTTATAGAGAGATACTTGCCATATTTGTTGCTATGTTTGGCGATAGGGTTGGCAACCGAATTTTTTATCCTGTTTCATATCCCTCTGTCGCCTCTTACTATACTCACAGGGCTATACACTTAATATTTTATAAGGTGCTAGTTGACTGCATGTCATACTGATAAATAATTATTCCAAATAAACATAGTTACAATTTATGATGAAAAGTTTTAATTAGAGAATAACGTACCTAATGTGTTATTAAAATTTGCTCATCATATTCTATAGACTCGTTCATTGAATAAAATATTAATAATATTCGAACAATTTTCTTTTAAAACTGAATCTTATTGATTCCATGACATTCAGAATTTTACTATACTTTCAAATGTAACTTACATACATTTATCCATAATTATACGTGCGTAAGCTACTACATTATGTTGTATGTTGGAAAATAAGTGCAATGATTGTGTTAGGGGATAGTTTGCCACATTCAAATTATTGTTAACATAATTTTTTGTTATCAGGCTGCTGTAAAATGCGCTTCTTCACCTCGTACCAACGCGCTGTCCACCAAGCCGCGAATGCCGCTCGCTGCGCTAGCCAGCGACGCGGCGCGGAACCACCCGCCCAACAATGTTAACTCGCATGTAAGTTGCATCTTTTCTGCAGCCAGTAACCTCACATATTACACTTTTAGTGGTTTTTGGTCGTGGGCGGACTGCTGCGCCTATATTGTTGCTTAAAAACGGGTTAAACTGTCGTCGAAGTCGTCCGCTTCGCAATGTTTTTATAAATACGAGTACGAGTGATAACAAGTAAGTGGATGTTGTGACTCATGTACATTTACATCTATCCTCAATGGAGAATCAAAACGAATTTTTTTTACCTTTACATACATTTGATAACTTATCACAACTGGTGATGGTGACCCCATGATATCGATCATCTAAGAGGGTCATTATATTTTAACAATTTCGTGATAAGTAAAAAAATAAACATTTTATAATGTTACGTTCCTTAGTCGGCAAAATATTCCATGACTAACTCGTTCTTCCTTTGAATATAAATGGTATGTTGAAGACTACTAACTACGTTCTTTACAAGAAATTGCTATAGTAATTGTTATTGTTAATGTCATAATTCAATCGCTTAAAAGGCATAGCCAAAGTAACGCTCCGTGCTTTCTCACCGTACATGCCTTACGTTAATGCATCGGGTGATCTCACACGTCTAAATGCAGCGAATCTAAATTTGTATTCCATCAGCGTGCCTCTTCCGGGCCTTGCTTTCTCGTTAAACGAATAATGCGTACGTAAACCGCCACTAGACTTACCAACACGCCTCGAAGCCTAATGCTAAACGTCAAAATGTTCCTTGTGTATGATGATGTGTGAATGTATTGTGTGTGTTTACTTATATTCTACGGTTTACCTAACAATTAGTTGTAATTGAATACCGACTAATATTAAATCCGATGCCTTTTGCTTGGTTTTCAAATTTTGTTGTGACGCAATAATGCAAACACTTTTTACAATTCAAAATGTTTTGTAGTGTTTATTACAGCCTTTATAAATGTTAATAGCGTAAGTAAAGCTAGGCTGTAATTAAAAACTTTTGAAACAACGCTTTCATTGGCTGTACAGATGCACTGGATTGTTGTGTCGAGGTTCTCTTTTGTGAAACGGGTGTTACTCGTAGTGAAGACGGGCGATTGTGAATCACAATGCGCTTGAATATTGCAGTAGATAAAGCTGGGATAGGATGGGACGGATTGTGGATAGTCGGAAGCGTGCACTCGACACGGTATTAAAATAAAATGCCGGCGCGCCTGCGGCCGATATTACCTAGCTATCTTTTGGTCTTCCATTTTATTCCCTTGTGTGTAAATTGAACGATTATCGTTGACCTACCTGGTTAGAAAATATTTGATATTGTACCTGTTTTATCAGCTCCTCTGTGCATGTATATGCCGCACATATATTTTTTTCCTTATTTAAAAATGAAGTAACCAGTTAGTTACATTGACTTATAAATTAATAATTATAATTAATAACTTTAACGTAGTATTCGTTTCATTGCTATATCTCAGACTTTCTAAGGATTTACATGTGATTTTCCTTTTACATGGAGATATTTTCGTTAAAGGATCAAAATAAAGCAAAACGTTTTTTGTGTATGATATTTCTAGATATCAACCTCTTTACCGTGAATAATCCTTTTACAATAAAAGCTCACATCAACCTTAAAGAGACTCACGTTTTTCCCTATTTGAAAAGAGTACTAGGTGGAATGAGAGCAGTTTACCCGCATTTCGTCGGTTCGCCGCCAGCCAAGATATGTCGCAATCCCATCCAATTTGCCTCCCGCCGCTTGTGCTTTTGCTTGAATAAAGCAGAAAATCTTGCTCCACAGAGAAAAGAATAATTTATATCGACTCGAGTATGAGCCAGTTAAATTTTGTATTGGAGAACTTTTAGAATATATAACTTTACAAGAATATTATTCATTTCGATATTAAAAAGATAACATTAATTTCAATGTAGTTTTTATAAATTGATATTTATATATCAAATGATCACCAAATCAATGCGCTTACCAGTTTTTTATCACACTACTCAATTATCAGTTATCGATAAGATTAGCTTTTACCCGCGACTTCGTTCGTGCAAAAACTTACATTAAACTCAAGTGTTTTGCTACTATCTTCAAATCTATGCGCAATGTGATCATGGGGTCCTGGGTTCGATCTCAGGTCGGGACAGAAATCAGTTATTGTCTGACAAGAATTCTCTGTAGCAGCCCAGAGTCAGGAAGTTAGCAGTGTTTCACTCCCGTGCCCTGCGCCAGATCTCTCTGCTGTCATGTCATACAACCGTTCCATCGGGCTATGAGTGTGGAGGAAATTATTTACATTACATTATTACTAAACTCCCAAAAGGCACGCTAACCTTTTGGGTAAGCTTCCAGCGTATGGCTTATCCCCTGATCTGATTGACTAGGTAAAGAACTTTATGAGTGAACGGTTTCTCTGGGTCGTCGTTGGTAGGTGCTCATCCGATTCTGTGACGACTAACGCCAGTGTTCCTCAGGGGTGGTTCAACTCTCTTCCTGCTGCATATTAATGATCTGCTTCTGCACTATCTATGGCTATGCAGATGACAACACAGTTGTAGAGAGATACCAACCAAGTTTTCGGGTCAGTCTGGATCAAATCCAGTCCGAAAGAGAAGCTATGGTTGAGCGTGTGAATCACATTACAGGCAGGGAGAGTGTGCGCAGGAATTGCATTATTTAATTCCTCCCTCTCCCTTCCACCATCGGACAACCAGACGTTTGGCCAGTCGGCCGCCCTTTTGTTGTTGAACCAAACGGTTTGCTACATCGTTCTTCATGCGTACAGCAAAGCAGCGGAATAAGTTGCCGGCATCTATCTTTCCATACGATTATAATGTTGTTGTCTTCATGGGATTTAGAAAGGGAATGGGATGTACAGATCAAGTCTTCTCCATGCGCATGATCGCGGAGAAGTTTTTGGCCAAAAACCAAAAGGTTTTTTGCGCGTTCATAGACTTGGAGAAGGCCTATGACAGAGTGGATAGGAATGTGCTATGGCAAACACTGAACTCATTTGGGTTGAGCGCTGGCTTGATACAGGCATTGGAATCTCTTTATAGGGACTCTAGTGCTTGTGTTAGGATCAACGGGGTCTACTCGGACTGGTTTGGCATCCATAAAGGTGTCAGACAGGGCTGTGTGGCTTCCCCGTGGTTGTTCAACCTATTTATGGACAGTTGTTTGCAAAATTTGAAAGTTGAAGAATGCGGATTAAGAATGGGTGAGTTAACCATCAAATGCCTTTTGTACGCCGATGATCAAGTTATTCTTGCGTCGTCGGCGGCTGAGTTGCAAATGATGGTTACATTAATGAACAGATCATTAAAAGAAAGGGGTATGAAAGTGAACGCAAGTAAGACAAAAATTATGGTTTTTGAAAGAGATGAAAGTAAAACGATATGTGAAATAAGAATAGAAGGGGAGTTGATCGAGCAAGTAGATGAATTTGTATATTTGGGTTGCGTATTTAGCAGGGATGGGAGATATAATAAGGATATAGAACGACGAGTGAACGCAGGAAACAGAGTAAATGGAGCCCTGCACTCTATTGTGAAGAGTCAAAATGTGTCGAAAAAGGCACGTATGGCAATTCACAATGCTGTGTTGGTCCCTACTTTAACGTATGGTAGTGAAAGTTGGGTGTGGCAGAAGAAGCACGAGAGTAGAATAAATGCAGTAGAAATGCGGTCGTTAAGGAGTATGTTAGGGCTGAATCTGAATGACAGGGTGAAAAATTGTGTGATAAGAGAAGAGTGTGGTTTGCAAGACGATGTTGTGACCAGGATTAAGAAAGGAATGCTTCGGTGGTTTGGTCATGTGGAAATAATGGATGAGGAAAGAGTGACAAAGAAAATTTATGTTGCAGAAGTGAATGGCAGAGTCGGAAAGGGACGTCCTAGGCGAAAATTTATCGACCAAATTGGCGATTTATTGAAAACGGGCCAAATTAGGAGTACCCTTAACCGACGAGCATGCATGCGTAGGTTTATGGATGTGAAGGAGGCGAGAGAGGTGTGTCAGGATCGTGCCAAATGGAAGTCTGTAGTCTCTGCCTACCCCTCTGGGTGACAGGCGTGAGTGTTTATGTATGTATGTATGTCTTCATGGCGAGAGTGAATAGGCTTTTGTTAGGTTCGTGCGCTTCACCATCTTAGGCTACATCAAGACTTAACATCAGGATTGATTATAGTTAAGCGCTGGCTTAGAATAGTAAAAAAATAAAATACGAGTGCACTTGTGTTTGCGCATACTCTCGGGCACAATGATCCTGTCCTGCGTAGATGGCTAATCACTTTTAACATTGGCTGCCGTGACCAAAAGTCTAGTCTAGAGGAAATTATATTCGTTGACGCCTCCTCTGTGTTGTATACTATGTAGGCATGAATTGACGGACCGAATCGCACGAATTTTAAACTTCCATGGTAAAAAATAAGATTTTTTACTGGTATCCTGCATGTGCTCCTACTGGCAACACTATACGCCTCATGTCATTGTGAATATTTCGTGCCGAATCAACGAGTCGAACTCTCCAACTTAAATTATTTTTGTAATTTTATAAGTGATATTCTTAATAAAAGTGATATTTATAAGTGAATGCTAACATGAGTAAAAAGAGGAAACTCATAGAAATGCTGGTTAATCTTTTAGACGATTCCAATGAAGGTAATTTTTTATTTGATACATAATGGCGTCATAACTCATAATTGCGTAGAAACGTAAATTGTAATAAAATTCCAATCTAGGAGACAGGACGGGAGCCTGTACATACTTAGCATTATTATATACATTTTATTATATTTTGATAATTTGACAACCTATTTTAACACTAAACATTAATAATTGTCTTGCGATGCAACGAGGGTGTACACGAGACATGAAATATTAATGATTGCCTTCAGGTGCCACAAGGGGGTACACGAGGCATGGAATAACATTATTATATACATTTTATTATATTTTGATAATTTGACAACCTATTTTAACACTAAACATTAATAATTGTCTTGCGATGCAACGAGGGTGTACACGAGAC